TTGAGATTTGAGCAAAATGCAAATAAGACAGCTGATTGCATGGACCTCCTCAACTCTCCAGGACCGAAGTGTGTCATCAGAGCTCCACCATGCAAGGTTCGACGCAATGGATATTCACTCTTGAGTTGTTAGAGGCAGGTTGAAGCGTACCAACTTGCCTAGAGTAGCTCAGGTGGTAAACTCCTTACCAGTTGAAATACAGACCCGGGTTCGAAATCCACAGAAAGCAGATGAGTGAAAGTCTACAATTCGGAATTACAAAGAAAGAGGGAGGATGAAACGCTCTACAATCTGGCTGGCACAAGCACGTCCACAGGGACCCCTCGTACTTACTTCAGCAGCGCAATTTCCACGATGCAAGAAAAGCTAACGCAGAAGAGGATCCCTGCAACTATTACATTCCTCAGAAACAGCCCGGTATCTGGGATTTTACCTGGATGTGATTGCGGGCCCTCTCACTTGACTCAAATGCCTTCTGCTGATTTTTCAATCTTTCTTGCCTTGTCTTCTCGAACGTGTCATAGTCACCCTGCAGCACACAAAGAAGCCAAGAGAGACGTTAACAGAAACAGCACAGCAATCTTCAACACAGATTACCTAAGTACCACACAAGTCTTTCCTCCCCTGTCCTCTCAGATGGTCCACGTTCACCTAACGACAGCTTGGCAGCTTGGTGAACAAGCAGTTCATTAAAAAAAAAAACAAGGTTGTCCGGACCACAGTGCAGACGATCTGGGTCTGGTGTCCGGTCCAGAGTGTCCAGGTCCGTCCCCATAACCACAATGATTCGCAACATCCACGAGCATCACTACAGAATTTGGGATCAAGATGCACGGTGTCTAAAAGCTTGTTTACAAATAGTTATGCCGCGACATCTCCCACATTTGACCATGACAGGACACCCCACCCTACTAGATCTTGACGCTGAAGGCCGAATGCTACACCCAGAATTAATTCAAAAACAAAAAAAAATGCCGGATTGTCGTAGCTCGGAATTTTTCCTTACCTTGTAGGTCATCATCTTCATATTCTGTAAATGTAAAATGTCTGTCACGACCTGAAAAGGCACGCCAAGAAAAAACAATAGAAAAACAAACACAACGCAGAATACAACAAAGAATTAGCTGCTTATTTCAACCCTTGGACAGAACTCTACAATGCTCAAGATCAGAACAGCGCACTTTAACCCTTCCTTGGACAGAACTTGAAGCAGACCAAGAGAGCAGGCATTCAGCAAATCCTTAATATTGTCGATGAAGGCTTGAACACAATTTCCAGAGATCATCGATTGACAAGGCCGGGAGACCGAGATTCACTTAACTGTCAACTTCGAAGTTTTTATTTTCTTCCGCTGCGTACTTGTAGTTTCGATATTCATCAGCCAGGCTAACGACTCACCTTTTCATTTGGAAATCGCAAGCTATCATCCTCAGCCGAATAGAACGCGCAGTCGTTAGAGATGTATCTAGACTAAGAGTTGCCCCAAATTGAAAAGGTGACCATTTACGAGTTGCTTGGGATTACAACCCGAATTCAATCTGGGGTGAGATCATTGCAAAATGCAGCTATTATGACTGTACATTCTATTCACGTGTAGACAGTAGGGAGCCCGCCGGGCACCCAGACTGGTTCCGGATGCTGTAGTACCCAACTGGGCAGACCTGGCCAGGTAGGTTCGGGCAGGGTCATCGGGAAGAAGAGCAAAAGATATACAGATATGAGAAACTTCAAAAAATCGAAGAAATTTTCAGAAACAGTTATGTGCACTACAACAGACCACCTTTTTTATTTATTTTTTTTGTAAACACACAGCTGCCTTCTCCTCATTTGGGGGACAGTTGTATTCTTTTTTTACCTATCCTACCTACATGCCCTAAAATGTATTCAGGAAACAGAATTTAATATGCACTCAGGTCGCCTTGCCTCTACAGGATATAGGGCTAGGGTAGAAGGCTACTAACCAGAACTAAGCTACCATCTTCACCCGAACGCCCGGTCATTATAGCTGTATTTGGCCCAGCTTTCAGCCCAGATACGGCGATAATTACCAGCGCGTTCTATTCGGGTGAAGACGGTAGCTGCAATGCAACAGACTTATTGCCCGAGGATATCCCCATATTTGAAATTTCCCTATTCATCTGAAGAAACAATGAAATAGAAAACAAGAGTTAGGATCTCTCCCTTTGAAACTTCTTTAAAACCCCCGAAGGCCCTGGGTGACCCATCACCAAACTGAAACGTAAGGCCATATTCTTTAACTTCTCAGGTCACGCACAATCCTGGCCTGACATTCATTTTCGTTTTTCAAATTCTTGTGCCTTTTTCCCCACCCCGATCTTCCTCGGTGGGCCCCGGCCTGGCCGGGCATCAGGCAGGTAGCCTCGCTTTCAGCACAATGTCTCTTCCTTTTATGCTGCTTCCCTTGCTTTCAGAGCACTTGATGGTTCTGCTTCTCTTTCTTTCCCCTCCTCCGCACTCTCACTTGTTCCCATCACTTCCCCGTCAGTTTTTCCTTCACCATTCTCCACCATTCTTCACCAACCTCCATTCTTCTCCCTAAGCCTCCATTCTTCTTCTTCTTTTTTTTCTTCTTCCTCCTCGTCATCCTCCTCTATCCACCTTCCTCCACCTTTCTCCACCTTCCCCCATGTTCCTTTCTTTTCTTCTTCTTCTTCTTCTTCTTCTTCCTCCTCCTCCTCTCCCTCATCCTCTCTCCATCTTCCTCCACCTTTCTCGGCACCTTCCCCCATGTTCCTTTCTTCTTATCTTCTTCTTCTTTTTCTTCTTCTTCTTCTTCCTTCTCCTCCTCTCCCTCATCCTCTCTCCACCTTCCTCCACCTTCCCCCACGTTCCTCTATTCTTCTTCTTCTTCTTCTTCTTCTTCTTCTTCTTCTTCTTCCTCCTCCTCTCCCTCAATGTCTCTCCACCATCCTCCACCTTTCTCCACCTTCCACCACGTTCCTCAATTCTTCTTTTTTTTCTTCTTCATCTTCGTCTGTTTTCATTATAAACTCCATGCTGATATTCGTTCTGCAGGCCAAACCTCAACTGCAGGCCACATGAACAATCAGGGGCACTTTGAGAAAATCTGTTGTAAGGTCAACTAGGTGATGATCAGGGTGAACTCACTGTGTTGAGGAAATCTCGTGCATGGGAGACGACGACGAGTGTCTTCTTCCACCTCAATAGGTAGGACTCCAGCCATAGTACAGCATGCAAATCCAAGTGATTCTGCAAGCGAGCCCAAAATGTAGGATGAGCTGATTACCTCTTTGGTCACATTAGGGGTCCAACCACATAATTGCACAGCGGCAGCTCCCCAGCACAAACACCCCCCCACGCAAAGAGGAACAAAAGTACGAGGATGAGCATTGGGCATAGAAACATGGCAAGATGAGGATCAGCTGAAGGAAGAATCAAAAAAAAAAAAAAGAAGGAAGAAGAAGAAGAAGAAGACAACAACAAGAAAATGACATTGAAAAGAAATGCACAACCAAGACAATCAGAACCTGAAAGCCACAAACCGGATAAGTCAACAGACATCTAGGAAGATGCCTACTGTAATCGACAGGTCATTCAAACTCAATAATTGTATGTCTCAGGACGGCAAGAAGAATGCAGCGGTATTGGCCCACTCCGTTTGCACATGGTGTACGCACCACCGAAGTTCTATATAAAACGGTCGCCCGGCTGTCTCTCTGATCTGGAGACACAACTATAACCATTTACTGAAAAAAAAAACACGCCACTCAACGGATCATTACCGTACGCACCACCCCTCGGTGGGTAATTGCTAACACACATGACGCAGAGGACAACTGAAGTTTTATATAAAACGGTCGCCCGGTTGTCTCTCTGATCTGGAGACCAAACTATAACCATTTACTGAAAAAAAAACAACCACGCCACTCAACGGATCATTACCTCTTCACAATTATCTTCCCAAACAGGCACCAATATAAAGCCATGCTTCTTTCTTACATGTAGACTGATGTAGTCATTCTTCATTTCAAGTGAAGAAAGGGAATTCCTCAGCACCACGGATTTCTTCTTTTCCATCTTTGCACTATCAACTTGCAGTTCAGTTTCTTTCCTCTTCCTTCCACCCACTCCCACAGGTTTTCCTACTAGAAGAGAACCCTGCTATTAGCTTTTCAATTCCCTTTTAAGTTTTAACCCTATTAACCTTGTTTCCGATTTGTTTCACACCCACCAAAAGGAGCTGGAAATGATTCTTTACACCACAAAGAGCAGATGTACAATTTTTTTGTTTTTTCTCGGAACTGCAATGCAATAAGAATCGGAGATTTTTGGTGCGCATGCAAGACATATGGCACATCAGCGCTTCATGTCCAAGATGAGCGCAGCATGTGCTCATGTTGCATGCATATGCTCCGTCCTTCACGAGTAGTATTTTACAAATTTTACACACAGAGACACCAGTGGCCAGAACTGCATTCAAACATATACCCATGTCTGGATCACACCCTGGCCCCACATTTCGATCGGCCAAGCTACTGCACATGCAGAGTACCATCCCCGCAGAACGAATTCCAGGTATCAGGAATGCCTGACCCTCTAAAGCAGACACCGAGAACATACGAATAATGTTATTTGGGCAAATGTAGAAAGCCCAAATGCTGTCCTTTGGGACATCCGTTAAAATTGGAACGTTACAGAGAAGAGTAGCACGACCCCTGTGCAAGTATGACATGCAAAAAACATATAAAAGAAATGCAACACCCCTTCTTCCCCCAAAGACATATCCCACTGAACCACATCTCCATCTTCGTTGGAGCAAAACCTTTGCCAGTGCCTCCATCCCCAGGGACAACCTGACGATCACTGCTTGACGAATAGTATGTCGTTTTCTTTTATTTTTCTCTTGTTCTCTTTCTTCTTTTTTCAAAAACCGGCAACGGCCTTGAGATATGATCATTAAACCGATCGGCCCTGCGAGAGTCAGAATTCTGGTATTTTAGTCATCTGCTTCCAGTGGAGTTCGAGCTCAGGTCTGTACTTCAACAGTTCAGGGGTGTACCAATTGAACGAACAATGTGTCGGATTAGTGAAAGTCTGAAAGATAGAACTTGCACTCCCCACCATCCGGCTTCAGAAGCCAGACAACCAGCCCAAGGGAGGGGTTCCTCTCTAACCCAGGTCACCCAGCACGATCAGACACTGTTCATCAGAGAGCTGCCTGGCGCCGGGGCCAACGATCTAGGCTGAACAAAGCTACAGAGTCGGGAGCGTTCAGAAGCTGCAGCTCAATGACACTAACCCATTCGACGATTATCAACCAATCACTTCAGTGCAACACTCCACACAGCTAATACAATCTTTTCACTGGCTCTGAAAGTATAGCCAAGGATCATGCCAAGGACTGTGAATACTTGATAAGACCCAAGTATAAGGTGATGCCATCTCGCCAAGTTATAAAACTGCGCTACCCTCTGCTATCACGAATTATTGAAAGAAAAAGTAGGAAAGACTACAGTATGCTAGTCTTTTTTACCAGCACTGTGTTTATTTGAAAAAAAAGGTGGTCTGCCTTGTCCCTCCCCTAACATAACAGCAGGGACTGTTCCCTCAAAACCCCGATCATAGCCAGAAACAGCGACCTACCAAGGTCAGGGAAACCTTACCGTGGGTTCATCCAACAGCAGCAAGTCGGGCTCAATGAACAAAGCTCGTGCTAATGCAATCCGCATTCTCCATCCACCAGAAAATGTTTTTGTCGCCCTGTGCTGCATTTCTGGGGCAAAACTTAGACCCTGACATAATCCACGAAATGCACCACAACCGACAGAAAACAGCTCAAAATCGATTTCCATCGTCCCCAGGGCCGTCCCCCTCGCAACTTCCTACTTCCTACGACTCACCCGCACAAAGACACACACACGACAGGAAAGAGCTCAAAATTGATTCCCACTCACGATGATTCAACTTGCTGCATACATAAGCACACCACATCCGATAGAACAAAGGTCAGAACCAACTTCCATGTTTCCTTTCAGCATCCCTTCCCAGCTATTGGTGGTGCAATTCAAACAGCTTCTGATACTTCATACTAGGCCCTTATTAAGAATTGCAAAATCAGCAGCCAGATCGAGTTCAGATCAAGTCCTAGAAGGACTCAATCTGGCCGCTGATTCTACAATTCTGCAATTATAAGGACCGCTAATTCTGCAATTCTGCAATTATAAGGACCGCTAATTCTGCAATTCTGCAATTATAAGGACCACTAATTCTGCAATTCTGCAATTATAAGGGTCCAACATGAGTATGCCCTGATAATCCACTTTGCTGCATACAAAAGGACACGGGCCACAACCAGGGTAAAAAAAACAACAAAGAAAAGCACAGAATCAACAATGTCCATGTTTCCCAGGAGCATTCCTCACAACTTGTGACACTTTAATTTACTGCAGTTGTCACAGCTTGTGCCTTCATTTCCCGCACAGGGAATCACACATTTGACACCCTTCTTGCCCTTAGTCTAGTCCTTCATCTGCCCCACCTACAACCATCAGACAGATAAAAGTAGTTCGAATTCAGATCCATGTCATGTAATCCAGTCCATTGGCCAGCTATCGAAAATGCCATTCTGGGACTTAATTGTTGAAATTGAGTCATGTCTGCAAAGCAATTCAAAGCGCTTGGAGAACAGTGCCCCTAAGAGGGAGTTTCCACTGCATGTGGCAAATTAAACATGTTAAATCACACCTTTTGTACACAATTGCCGTTCAACGTGACATGCCAAAGAGACTGCAACCGGACCACAATGGCTGGCAAGAGAGAGACAGAAGGGGGGGGGGGGGGGGGGGGGGGGGGGGGGAGGTAGTGGCGTTTCGGCAAATTTGGCACACAGCCGGAGATCCGCCTCAGCTTGGAGGTAGTAGTTGTTTAAGCCGGTTTAACGATTTCCTGACCCCTTCTTGTCATCATTCGACCTCAGGGACACCTGCCTGCACCTTTGCCGGATTCTATGAATTTCCTAAGATTTTGTTTTAGATTTGAACACTGAATTGAAATTTTGTCACAACTTTGATGATTTTGGAAAAACAGCCGACTCTTGAGGCACTATCACTCATTTCACTGGCGGGCACAGCCACCTCACAAACATCCAAACATGGTTTCGATAGACGAAGAGAGGAAGGACGACGGTCGAGACGCGGACAAGCAGGGGGAAACCTCCAGACCATTAGAAATAAAGTGATTGGCACATCACAACATACCGATAAAATAGAAGCCGCCCTCGATTCCGCTGAGTAGGCGTCTATCACCTCCAGTCTCTTGTAGATGGCTGCCAACCTCTCCTCTATCGCATCACTGGACAAACGCTCCTCACCATTTGTTTGTGCTCCTCCATCTTTCTCTGTTTCATTAACTGGCTTAATTCCATTAGCCATATTTGCCGCCAACTCTGCAGGCGGAGCCGATTGAGATAAAGCCGACTTTTGCTGAACAGACACAGACAACAAGCACGTCTGTGTTAGAGGCTAGGCTACCAGAGTGGCCTCGGATCACTTGCCCGGCCGGGCCAAAAAATAATTATAAAAATAAACCTTAGTATGTTGGAAGGATAAAAATAAAAACGTTTTTTAATCTTATTTTTTATTTGAAATTTGGTAAATAATTTTGGTGTGACCCTGAGGCAAAAGTTGCTCGTTTATTTTTCTGCATAACATAGTTCTTTTCCCAGATTTTTTGGATTTTTTTTTCTTTGCTGGGACCTTTGGTCCTCGCACAGCCGGTCTGCCCGGCTGTCCGGCTGGTAGCCTAGGATAGAGGTCGAAACACATGCCAGGAAAATCAAAATGCACACGAAGTTTCAACTTTTATACAAATCCATCAAATGCTATTTTTGTTACGTCCAGCAGATTCTTTACTTCAAGCCACCAGTTCAGCTACCTTCCAAGGCTCCTTTTTCTGCATGCACAGGACACTACCAGCGAAGGGCCGAAGAGGTACGCTCTAACCGCATCAACGGTAAGAGCCCAACTCAGCTTCAGCCACCAGTTCAGCTACCTTCCAAGGCTCCTTTTTCTGCATGCACAGGACACTACCAGCCAAGGGCCGAAGAGGTACGCTCTAACCGCATCAACGGTAAGAGCCCAACCCAGCTTCAGGCGAGCTGATGTTTTACGGCTGGATTGTATGTCAACCTCATAGAGAGAAGAACCTGAAAACCGGATGGCCAAACCAATAAATGCAGAGATAGCCATACTGACCAACAACGCAAACAACTCATGTTCACTGAAAAAGACAGTACCTCCAGCCTCCTCAAATTTCGAACCTACTGTTTTCACCCGAATAAAATCACAACAAGTATAACAATCATTATTTCGCAGTGTGTGACCACCAGCCGATCTGGGGCCTTTTGTTTCCTGGGCGCGTGATGGTCCAGATTGGCTGCTGATCGTTTTCAATGTCATCAACTCACGATCTGGACCGCCATCAAAGTTGTACAGCACGGCCCAGATTGTGTGTTGATCATTTTCCAGACAACCATTGGGCCGGTAGGCCCTGGCCCTAGTGCCACGCGCGGTACTACGGGGCCAGGGCCTACCGGCCCAGTGCAAATTCCAACTCCACAGACCCGGTTAGTGCCACGCTTGGCCGAAAGCCCTGGGGTTTGTATCTACTTTTTTTGGGAGGCGGCCACAAATTCATACTCCCCAGGCCCCGGTCGTGCCGCACAGGGCCACGTAACAAACTTTTTTGGGGGAGGCAGCCAAAAGGGCTAATTCAGTTGAAGCTGCCGCCTCCGCACGGCTTCGACGCTACTCTTGACCCTACTTCGAGACGCTACTCTACACTATTGCGCTGGACTTTGACTCTTTACGATGCTACTCTATGCTACTGTGCTCGACTTCGACTCTCTCAATAGATCGATAGATAGATAGATAGATAGATAGATAGATAGATAGATAGATAGAAAGATAGATCGACGCCGGCTGCACTCAACTTCGACTCTCTACCCTACTGCACGCTACTGCCCACACACGACTTCAACGACTCTCTACACTACTGCATGTTGCTGCCAACACTCGACTTCGACTCTCTACGACCACGCAACTCTACACTATTGCTCTGGACTTTGACTCTCTACGACATTACTGCACACAACTTCGACACTACTCTGACTCGAATTCTCTACGACGATGCTACTGCGTTGGACTCCTCTCTCTCTCTCTCTCTCTCGGTCGATCGATGCTGGCTGCACTTGACTTCGAATCTCCACGACGAGGCTACTACGCTGGACTTCAACTCTCTTCTCTCGATCGATCAATCGACGCTTGCTGCACTTCCACTCTCTATGACGACGCTACTGCGCTGGCCTTCCACTCTCTACGATGCTACTCTACGCTACTGTGCTTAACTCTCTCTCTCTCTCTCTCTCTCTCTCTCTCTCTCTCTCTCTCTCTCTCTCTCTCTCTCTCTCTCTCTTTCTCTCTCTACGCCGTCTGCACTCGACTTGGACTCTCTACGCAACTGCCTACGCATGAGGTTGGGCTCTGTTGCTAACTTCAATTCCGTGCTGGAGTTTGGGCTTTATATCCTGATGGTTGGACGCTGAGGATTGGGCTCTGCATTGCGCCAACGTTTTCGCACGACCGCCACAATGACTGAAGGTCAGTTATGTTTGTTGATTTTGTTTCTTTGCGGGCTTGGAGTAAAAATGTGCAAGGGGGTGCAGGGGGTGCAGGGGA